ACTGTTACTGAGGTATAATCCACATACAGGGGGAGTGTGTGCTTGTCTGTATGGGGACTGTTACTGAGGTATAATAGGAATACATAAAAGCACACACTCCTACTTGCACAAGAGACCTGAGTAACTCTGAAGGAACTGGGCTTACCTACTCTAGTTGATATGATCTAAACTTTGTCCTCACCTCAGGAAGCCCTCGTGGGACAGTGGGTTAAGCAATGGGCTGGCAATCACTGGGTCATTGATTCGAACCGTCCGGCCACTCTCGAGGAGCAGGATGAAGTTGTTTGCTCTGTAAAGATTTACAGCATCCGAGACCCTTCATAGGATTGCTGTTAGTTGAAATGGGTGGGACGGCCATGGGTTCGAGTCTTACCTTTCCTAGAGTTACTGTACAAATCCCTAGGCATTTCCCATTGCCAGCTCATCCAAGGAAGCTTTCAACAGTTGTGACTGTTGTTGCAAAGTCCAAAGACACAATGGACTGTCTACAAATATTCACAGACAACGTTGGTGGTCAATGCTATCATTGGCAGAAATCAAGCTAGCTTCTCTATTTTGGAGTGTTCATTCCTTCACATTGGCAAAAGGCGTGTCTTTTGCGGACAAAACACCAAGGATTAAGTATTGGGCTATAAACCCTAAGGCGCGCAGTTCAAACCCACCAGCTGCTCCTCCGGAGACAGAGGAGGCTGTGTGCCTGTAAAGAGTCACAGTGTTGGCAACACTTGAGGGGCAATCCTACTTTATCCTATGGAGTAACTACAAATGGGGATCCACTTGATAACAACTGTGGGCGAGCTAGACACTAGATACTTTTATAATGTAAAATGAGGTTTCAATGTCCAGAGCACCTTTGTAGAGAACACTAGATCCAAAAGACAGAACAAAAAATGGATCTGAGAAAAGCAGTAGCATCCCTATCCTCCCTTTTGATGATGGTAGGGCCCCCGTCTCCCTGGGTTCCCAATTCTGCAGCTCCCCCCACACTGTGATTTGAGGCCGTGTGCTTCGGCCACAGGAGTCCCAGGTTCCGGGTGAGAATACACCACCTTCCTCCAGAACTATTGTTGTTGTGTGCCGTGGAGTTGGATCCGAGGGTTTCCGAGGCTGTAAATCTTTACAGGAGCAGAAAGTCTCACCTTTCTCCTGTGGAACAGCTGGTAGTTTCGAACTGCTGACCCTGAGATTAGCAGCCCTATTCATAAGCGCTAAGGAGCTCTGGTAGCGTAGTGGTTACGAATCGGGCTGTGAACCTTAAGGTCAGCAGTTCGAAACTACCAGCGGTTCCGCGGGAGAAAGATGAGGCAATCTGCTCCCGTAAAGATTTACAGCCTTGGAAACCCTGTGCAGGGTCGCAATGGGTCGGAACCGACTTGACGGCACTTCACAACAACAACAACAACAACAATGCTACTAATGCATAGCAACCTTGTATAGGGTTTCCAAGAAGTGGCTGGTGAGCTTGAACTGCCAACTTTGCATTTCAAACTGACTTAGCAGTGGCATTAACCCACAGTACCACACCAGGGCTCCAGTTGAACGGGTAGGTTCTCCTTAATTGACCCCCAATAGTTTTTTATCTGCTTCTCAATCCAACATTTATATCCTCAAGGTATTCCCGGGATCTCAAAAACCTCACTTTCTTTGGTTTGTGCAGGCTCGACCCTGTGAGGGAACCAGGCAGGGAAGAAGGACACAGAGTGAGTGTCTGCCAGGACAGGACTTGAGACAGTGGAGGTGTCCAATTTCTTTTGCTCTTAGCCCTGGCTTTCTTTTAGCTTAGTGTCCAACAGCACCACAGCTTCCATTTCAGACCTGCTCCTAGGCCGTATCTATGAAAAACAGTGCCTAGAGCAACAAGTGAAATCATGCCCCATGTAAACATCTGATACTCATCTTTTAGATAACCGTATCAGCCCCAAAATAAAAGCCAAAATCCTTCATCTTTTACTTAACACATTATGATACTACCTGAAATTTTCAACTGCACTGTCCTGACTTCACTGATGAAAATTTGTTCTTGAGGTGCTCAGAGTAATTTTTTGTGTGTCTCCAGTTTCTTCAGTACACCTGGGGGAGCTAGGTGTATTGACCCACCGAACTACAGTGCCTTCAGGCGGAGGCTTACGGGCTCTTCTTAGCGGCTGTCTGGAACAAATGTTCCCTGAGCATTTCTAGAATCCACTCGTTGACAAAGGGTTTTGTTTTGTTTTGTTTTCTTTCTGAACTGAGAAGAACAAGGTAACAGCCTACCTAGACCAATTGTTGTTGTTGTTGTTAAGTGCCATCGAGTCGGTTCCGACCCATAGCGACCCTGTACAGGGTTTCCGAGGGTGTAAATCCTTACGGGAGTAGAAAGCCTCATCTTTCTCCCGCGGAGCGGCTGGTAGTTTCGAACCGCTGACCTTAAGGTTCGCAGCCCGATTCGTAACCACTACGCTACCAGAGCTCCTTACCTAGACCAATGGGAGAACTCAAATAGAAAGCTGTTGTTGTTACGTGCCATCGCGTCAGTTCTGACTTATAGCGACCCTATGCACAACAGAATGAAACACTGCCCGTTCCTGGACCAACCTCATAATCGTTGCTACGTTTGAGCCCATTGATAGTGCCACTGTGCCAATCCATCTCACTGGGGGTCTTCCTGTTTTTCTCAGACCCTCCACTTCATGTTTCAACATTCAATAATCCGGTGCCAATAGTGTTCCACTGCTATTCATAAGGTTTTCAGTGATTAAATAAGCAGAAGTAGTGCATCTCTCTTTCTTCCTAGTCTGTCTGTCTTGTCTGAAGTTCTTCTGAAAACTGTGGGTGACCCTTGTTGTTGCTAAGTGCCACTGAGTCAATTCCAACCCATAGCGACCCTGTAGAGGGTTTCCAAGGAGCAGCTGGTGAGCTTTAACCACCAACCTTGCAGTTCAAACGACTTTGCTGTCTGACGCCATTAGCTCACAGCTCCACACCAGGACGTCGTGGGTGACCCTACTGGTATTTAAAATACAGTTGGCGTAGCTTCCAGAATCACTGCAACACACAAGCCACCACATTATGACAAACTGACAGATGAGTGGTGGGAATAGAAAGTATTCATTTAATTTGATGATCTCTTACAGCTAGCAAAGGAAACTGCCACGGTTAACAGGAATTACTCAGTGGGCTCCCTTGCAAGTGGCGTCCAGGCCTGTCCCATACCTGCCATATCTCAGCCTCGACTCCGGGTGGGGGGGCGGTTCCTTTCCCGTGGTCCTTGGCGAGGTCAGTGTGTCCAAGTGCCCCGACTACGCCACTGCGCCCCTACCGAGCGGGGATGCCTCTAGGCCCCGCCCCCACCCCACCCCCCACGCGAACTTGGCCGCACCCACTTCCCCCGCCGGCGCCCCCGCCGAGGTCCGTGTTGACGTCACAAGGCACCCAGCCGCTGGCGCCTCGCGCCCGGACCGCAGACACCCAGACGTGCCGCGTGTCCTCCCACTGAAGATGGCGAGCCTGGCACCCCCGGAGCCCGCGGAGGAGGGATGCCCGGCTCGGGCTCCTAGCGAGGAGGCGCAGGAGCCGGAGGAGGAAGTCCGGGAGCTGAGCGCGGTCGCTGGCGCCGGGCGGCAGGTGGAGGAGGCCGCGGGCCGGGTGGGCGCCGTGGCGAGCTGGCTGCTTGGGGAGCCGGTGCTGTGGCTGAGCCGCTGCGCCGAGCAGTTGCTGAGCTGGGAGAGGCCGCTGCTCAGCCTGCTGGCTTTCGTCGGTGCCAACCTGCTGTTCTGGTGAGAGCCCGGCTGGGTGGGGACGCCCGGAGGGCAGGTGACCTTGGGGCGCCCGGGGGTGAGGACGCGCCCAAGAGCTGGGGTGGGGAACGCACGCTGGACACTACGAAGAAAGGAGTGTCAGTTAGTCCGGCCATCTGTCTGGGAAAGACAGACCCACATCACCTTTAGTCCGGACGCACTGCCCTGTAAACAGTCGCCTGTCTCTGTGGGTGTATTTAGCCTGGATCAGGAGGTGGTCGGCCAAGCTGCACGCACCTGTCTCTACAGGTGTGCCCAGTGTGCTGGCAAACTTCAGCCTTTGCTTTCTCAAACTTGCAGGTCTTGACCTGCTCGCCCAAGCATGCCCGAGCCAACCAACGCGCTTGAACTTGTATCCCGTCTCGCATCCCCAGCAGGCATTAGCTGGGCCGTTTTAGGTACACTTTCCGGGGCTGCACTGCCTTCATAAGCCACCTGAGACGGGCATTGAATAGCTTGTTTTTCCTTTCCCTGGAGGGTTGGGTTTACTGTCTTTACTCCCTGATGAGAAAACTGTCGGCAAACAGGTGAATTGTGTACAGCGCCCCCCTCCCTCTTCCCCTCCCAGGTGTGCAGAGTCTGGAAAATAGACGTATTTTTAAGCGATCTGCAGAGAGCATGCGCAGGAATGTTTTCTTAAAAGCCTGCCATCAACAGGTTTGGCCTTTGAAAAGTGCTCTCACCGGTAAGGACACAGAGGAGTGTCTGGCCCATTTTACTGAGGGATGCGTCCTGTCACCAGCTCTCAGCCTCACTGAATGGGGGTGGGCGGCACTGCTATGTTTGTTAATGTGTTCCCATAACAAACAGGACCTCCCCGTGTGCAGAATTTGGCGTTTCAGTCCCAGGCATCTTGTTACAGAACCTAGATTTCCTAACCTTACAAGATCTATACTTGCACACATTTTCTAGGTTAAGTTGAGAAATCAGAGTATTTTCCTGTACTTGCGCACGCAGTCTGGGCTGCCCTATTTTTCCCTCTTAACATGAGCTGTGTCAATTAAGGGTCCCGGAAGGGGTGTTGGCTGTGCCTTGGGTCTTTTAGCTTTCTCTGATAGCTAAGCTGGAGTTTATTTCAAAAAGTTCTACCCTGTTGTGAAATGACACAAACATTCAATTAGGAAGATTGTATTAGCCATTTCTCGATTGGACAATAGTCCAAACAGTGTTAGAGACTTGAAAGTTCTCAGGTCTTACTTATTTTACCAATGGGGGAAATGTTTCTAAAATTCCTTCTGTTTCCTTTTTTCCTTTAAAATTTCATTTTTAAGAAGAGCTAATACAGTCTCAGGATTCAAAAATGGAAAGGTATAAAAGGGTAAAAAAAAAAAAAAAACTTGGAAAATTCTCTTTCCCACGCCCGGCAGTGAATGTGACCAGTGTTCTGTATTCTAGGCTAACTGTGGAATACTGTCTGGGCAGTAAAGAGCCCTGGTGGCACAGTGCTTAAGCGCTGGGCTGCCAATGAAATATCCGCGGTTTGAACTTACCAACCACTCCTCTGGAGAAAGATAAGGCAGGTCTGTTTCCAATGGGGCCCTTCTGAGTCCAAGTTGACTCAGTGACTATAAGTAGGTATAAGAGGGGGCTTCAAAAGGTTTGTGAAAAAATTCCATTTCTCCATGAACTTTTTAAAGCCCCCTCTTGTGGGTGCTGTCTCTACTTAGTGTATTTTGACCATCACTTCCTTTTTCTTTTTCAGAGACATATTCTTGATGTTGTTGTTAAGTGCTGTTGAGTCACTTCTGACTCATAGCGACCCTCTCAGAGGTATAGACTCCCATTCAACCCATCCTCTACTGAGAAACCCAGGCTATTCCCAAACTTTTGCTATTATAGGGACTTTGTCATGCATCATTTTGCATATATCCTATTATCTCTGTTGTGTATACTTCCAGATGCGGAGTTGCTGGGTCAAAGGGGATATTGTGGTTAGGAACTGTGGAGTCGGTTCCAATTCACAGTGACCCTATATAGTGGTGGTGGTTGTATGCCATGGAGGTGGTTCCAACTCATAGCGACCTTGTACCAGGTTTTCAAAGCTGTAAATCTTTACAGGAGCAGAAAGCCTCATCTTTCTCCCGTGGACCAGCTGGTAGTTTCAAACTGCTGACTCTGCGCTTAGCAGCCAGTCGTAACCACTATGCTACTGGAGAGAAAGCCCTATATTTCTCCAAGGAATGGCTGGTAGTTTTGAACTGCTGACCTTGAGGTTAGCAGCCCAACTTGTAACTACTACGTTACCAGAGTGCCTACCAGAGCTCCTTAGTGACCCTACATACTGCAGAACAAAACACTGCCTTGTCCTGTGCCATCCTCAGATTTGTGACATTTAAGTCCATTGTTTCAGCCACAATTGCTCCATCTTGTTGGGGGTCTTCCTCTTTTCTGGTGACCCTCTACTTTACCAAGATGATGTCCTTCTTCAGGAAGTGGTCCCTCCTGAAAATATGATCAAAGTATGTGAGATAAAGTCTCACCATTCTCACTTTTAAGGAACATTCTGACTGTGATTCTTCCAAGACAGATTTGTTTGTTCTTCTGGCGGTCTATGGCACTTTCAATAGTCTCCTCCAACACCGTAATTCAAATGAACTCATTTCTTCTCCAGTCTTTCTTATTCATTGTCCAGCTTTCAAATTCATATTAGCTGATTGAAGATACTATGGGATGATGGTTCAGGTGCACCTTAGTCCTCAAAGTGACAGCTTGCTCTTTAGTACTTTAAACAGATTTACTTAATACAATACATAGTACTTTAATTTCTTGACTGCCACTTCTGTGAACATTGATTCCACAATCCAAGTAAAGTGAAATCCTTGTCAATTTCAGTTGTCTCGCTGTTGATCATGATATTGTCTATTGGTCCAGTTGTGAGGATGTTTGTTTTCTTTACAACCCATACTCTGAGGGCTGTGGTATTTGATCTTTACCACTAAGAGTTTCAAGCTTTCTTCACTTTCAGTACCTTCTGCCTATCTGTTTGATTTGTTCTCCTGTTTGCATATCTACATTCCAGACATGTATTTTCCATGACAAAAAGGTCACAGGCCCGATCTTCAAATTCTAAAATACTTTTCATCGCTTTTGTATAATTATTCCTTGGAATTCCTGGAAATATATTCATTGCATTGAATTTTTGGTGCTTTTCCTCTACTCTGTATGTTGCTTCTTGGGTTAAAGCATTTTTCAAGGAAATGAAGTTGTTGTTGTTTTAAAAAAGTATATGTCCCCTTATCTTAAGGGATCTTAAGTGATGTGGCCCTCAAGCGTTCTGTGTCTCAAGAACTCCAAAGCATTCTATTTTTCTATGAGAAAAACAAAAAGATAAATGTTAGAAATATGAGGAACTCGACTCTTGTCTTAAGCAGTAATGGCATTGTTTTCACTGTTTTTGTTGTTGTTACGTGCCGTCGAGTTGGTTCTGACTCATAGCCTCCCTGTATAAGGTTTCCGAGGATCAGCTGATGAGTTTGAACCATTGACCTTGCAGTTCAAACGGAACTCCTGTTTTCACCTTTTTGGCGTTATTTTCTGTCATCCTATACTTTTAGATTTTTTTTTTTTTTTTTTACTTGATATGATACCAACAATAAATTTCAGGACTCTGAGTGTGACTTCAAAATCTCTTACATACCCATTGTTGTTAAGTAGCTTATCGACCCTGTCTAGGATTTCCGAGGGGTGGCTGGTGGATTTGAATTGCCGACTTTGCGGTCAATGGTTGAGTGCTTATTGTACAGCACCACACCAGGACTCCACATGCTACGTGGATTTAGGGTTCTACACTAAAAGGATAAGAAAAATTAAGACGTAACCATGAAAACAAAAATGAGTATACTCAAGGCTGCATGAAGCAAGTATTCGAAGAGTCAGAGAAAGGATGGTTCATTTTTTTTTAGCTTTTATTATGAATTATGTGATAGTTTACAAGGGAGAACATTAGCTTTACATTCTAGCTTTACATTCATCCTACCGTATTTTGTTTAATTGCAATGATTACAATTCCCTGTATGCATCATCAAACAGCCAAAGGGTACACCCCGCAAGCCTGCCCCCTGGCCGTCAACACACAGACCCTCTCCCTCCCAGATAGAGAGTCCCCAGCAGCTCTATCTCTCCACGTCATCGTCTCTGCCTCAGGATAGTTCATTTTGATAGAGTTTGGGGATGGTGGTTGGATTATGGGTGGAAGAGATTGTGAGGCTCTTCACAATGAGCTGGTGCTAGCTGAAAAGCTGGAGGTTCGTGTCCAACCAGAGGTGCCTCTGAAAAGGACAAAAAAAAGGTCTGTCAATCTACTTCCGGGAAGAAAAAAATCAGCCATTGAGAACTCTGTGGAGCACAGGTCTGTTGGGATCACCATGAGTTAGTCAGCTTAGTGACAATTACTTAATAGAGGAACCAAAAAAGGTAGTGGGAAATGAGCTTGGCTAGATGGGGTGGGGTCAGGTCTAGGGGATGGTTGTTGTTGCCAGGTGCCATCGAGTTGGTTCTAACTCATAGCAGCCTATGCACACCAGAACGAAAGCCTGCTTGGTTGTGTGCCATTCTCACAATGGTCCTTACGCCAACCCGTCTGTTGTAGTGTGTTCTTCTGTTTTGCCGACCCTCCATTTTTCCAAGCACGGTGTCCTTCTCCAGGGACTGATTCCTCCCGCTTATATATCTGAAGTATGAGAGGCAAAGTCTGGTCATCCTGGCTTCTAAGGAACATTCTGGCTGTACTTCTTCCAACACAGATCTGTTTGTTCTTTTGTCAGTCCATAGTACTTTCAATATTCTTCTCCAACACCATAACTCAAATGCATCAATTCTTGTATGGTTTTCCTTATTCGTTGTCTAGCTTTCACATGCATATGAGGTTATTGAAAATACCACAGCTTGAGTCAGGTGCACCTTAGTCTTCAGATGAACATGTTTGCTCTTGAAAACTTTAAAGAGGTCTTGTGCAGCAGGTTTGTCTAGAGCAATACGTC